AAATTTAATATTCCTTGAGGGAAAGGAGGGATAAATTATTATGTGTATGTTATCTTTAATATGATTGCATATGAGAATTTTTTTTTAAATTTTTTTTTGAATAAATAATAAATAATAAATACAAAAATAATAAGAAAATGTAATATAAATAATTTCAATATTATATTGGTATTAAAATATTTTTTTTTATCGACGATTATCGTGTTGGATTTGCAGCATTTTTATCGTGTTTAGTGTTTAACTATAATAATTTTCAAAAAACACAAAAGAATCAATAAATTTTTTTTTTTTAATATAGTTCTTTTTTTTTAAGAAGAAAAACTAAATTGAAATCAATTTTTGAACTCAAGAAAGCAATGGACAGCTCTTCATTTTAAAATTTGTTTTTATTTTAAAAAAAACTTTTGATTTCAACACGCAAATATTATTCCTCGCAACCTTATCTTTAATTTTTTTTTTTTTTTTTTGAAAATTTTTTTTTCTTTCTCTCTCTTTCATATATTCGAGAATTTCAAATTGTTGATCGAATTTTTTGTTCTAATTTTTTTTTAAATTACCAATTTGTTACGAAAAAAAAAAATTTCATAATATTAAAATTATAAAAACATCATAAATTTACAAATATAACACTTAAAATGTACACATAAAAAATATATACGAATTTTTTAATTTAATAATAGAATTTTTAAATAAGGGTGTTTTTAATTTCGTACAAAAATTAAAGAAAGAATACATAAATTAAAATTCGAAATAAAATAATTTATTTAATTTAAAATAAATTTTTAAATTAATATTTAAATAATTTGAAAATATTTTAAGGATAAATTCAATTTTTTTAATAATAATTAAAAATTAAAATAATTAATACGTAAAAATTGTACTTAACAGAGAATTTATAAAATTAATTTTGAAAAAAATAAATTAAAAAATAAATGAAATTTCTTTTTCTTAAATAATTTTTTTTCTGTAAATTTTTTTTTAATCTGTAATATTGTATAACAGTTGTATTAATACAAAATAACATTACAGATTAAATGTATAATTTTAAAATTTTTTTGTTTGTTTTTTTAAGGTTATTGGATATTGGTTTTAAACTCGATCTCAATAATAAAAATCTCCTTATTAATAAACTTATTAATTAAGGCGCCATTTTTAATATTAAAAAAATTAAAATATTTATGAAATGCGTGTATTTTTCATTTATTTATATATTTTTATGTAATTAAAAATGTTTTAATTAATTAATTTAAAAAATAATTTTATTTTATAAATTATTTTTTATTTTTAATTTTATTTTATTTTTTTTTTTTGCTTTTAATTTTTTGTTTTTGGGGCAAAAATATTAACAAAATTTATTTTATTTTTATATAGTATGTATATATGTGTTTTTTTGTTCGTTTTTAGTTTGTTGTTTTAAGTTTGAATTTTTCAAAATTTATTTTTGAAAATTTTACTCTTAAATTGAAGAATTTGTTTTTTTTTTTTGCATTTTTTTCTTTGTTTATTATTTTTTAGTTGATTTTTGTTTTGCTGTTTGTTATATACACATATAATCAATTATATATTAAATAACAAATTAAAATTCAAGAAGAAAAATGAAAATTAAATATAATTTTATATATACATACATACATATTTTTTAATTAGAAATAAATATATATATATATATTAGATATATGTGTATGTATATATAAAATATAAGTATATGCATATATATATATATATATATTTGAATTTATTAAATTTTAAAAAACAACCTAAAAACCAAAATTGTTCTTAAACAAACAATTTCAATTAATACAATTTTTTTAATTTTTAAATTTTTTTTTTAATAATATCAATTTTTTTCTATAATTAATTTAATTATTAATTAAAAATGAATTTTAATAATTTTCTATACATATATATATATATATAATAATTATATTTTTTATTCTATTATTATATAATATTTATATTTATTATATTATTATAATGAATAATAAAAAAAAGATAATTTTATAGTATTTTAATTATATAATATAATATATACATACATACATATAAGTATATATATATATATATATGTATATATATATATATATAATATTTATATAAATTTTCATTTAGCTACTTAAGAGATTTCAATTTTATTTTCAATTTTTTTTTTAATTTTTTTTCATTTAAATTAAATTTTTAAATTTAAACATCTAAAATTAGCTATCAATATTTTTTATATTTGTTTTTGGATTTTTTTGTTGCATTATTTTTATTCATTTTTTTTTTTGTTTTACGTTTATTTTGAAAATATTTTTTTTCTGTGTGTGTTCTTCATTTTTAAAATCTATTTATTAATTTTTAATATTAATATGTTTGAGTATATTTTAAAGGTATAAAATATACAAAGAAAGTTTTTTTTTTATTATAATATTTTTCTTTGTTTTTTTGTTATTTAGAAAATAAAGTGTCAGAAGAATTTTGACATTTGAAGGTAAAGAATGATTTTTTGAAGTGTTTAGTGTGTGACAAATAAATTAAGAAAAATAATTATTTATTTTTAAAAAATTTTTATTTCATTGAATATTTGCATTGAAACCATAATTTGCATAAATATTTTTTAAATTTTATAGTTGTATTAGGATTTACCGTAATTTGCAAAACAAAAAAAAAAATTGTAAAAATGGAAAAAAAATTTTTTTTGATACACGAAATTTATGTTTGTAAGTGTTGTCCTTGTTACACATTATATTGTGGATATTTTTTTCAGATAAAAAAAATTGTGTCAAATTTACAATAATTTTAAATATAAAATTTAATAAATAGATGAGTTTCAAAAATTATTTCAAATTAATATTTGCAAAAAAAAATGTTATGTATTATTGTTGTTTTTAAATTTTTTGTTATATTAGAGCATTGTGTATATTATGTGTAGTTTATAGTGATACACAGAAGGTAATTTTTATAATTGCACAAACGAATTGGTTCGTGAGTTGAGTGGCGCTAGTGAGTAATTATTAGTTTTAATTCAAGAAATGTAGTTTATTGTGTAGTTACAACAATTTTCTTCTTCGTATCACTATAAACTATATTAAACACAATTATTATAGTTAACATATATGTTATTACTATTTATAGTATCTATAATGTATGTGTTTCATACTTTCATGAAAGTAAAAGTTTCTGTCAAAACAAAAAAACTTATTTTATGTTGTTGACATTGTTGAGAGCGAAAATTCTTACTCAACATAAGAAAGAGAGCAATGTACATAATATATTATGTATGTTAAGCTTTGAAATTTCGAGAATAAATTAGAATTCTGAGTAACTAGTAAAAATTTTCAAATTATTTAATTTGATTTTGACAAAAATGGCTATGCATCAATTTTGACATATATTTAATATATTAGGCGTATTAGTTTTAGTTATCAATTTCATAATTTTGAAACAATTACATACCGGTTATAGAATACAAACAAAGAAATATGTAAAATAATAAAATTTAATACAAATGTATGTATAAATGTATATATAGGAAGTAACATCGATTACTATAAATATTTTGAATAAATATTTCAATTGTATAGGCTTTAATGTTTAAGTAAAGTGACAGGACTATGTTCCTGTCAACTATATACATAATATGGAAGGAAAATTAATAAAAATATATGAATTTGTGTAACGCATTGAAAAAACATTTTACCGTTTTGTGTTTTCTATTTTTTTTCATTTTAGATTTTTATATAAATTTTTGTATTTATTTTCTTAAATTTTATTATTTAATTTATACAACTCTTAAATTCAATATTTATTATTATATATATATTTTTTTTGTCGTTTTCTTTTAATATATAATAATAAATGTATGGTTTTTTTTCATTTTTTTTTTAAATTTAAATATCGAAAATTAAATTCGTTGATTTGGGTATGGTTTACATATATATGTATTTTTATTTAATTAAAAATTTATTTTTTTTTTTATTTTTTAATTTTTTTTTTGTTTTTTGGGTATTTTATGTAGTTTATCTTATAAAATTTTTTTTTTTGGTATTGAGAAATTATATGTATGTATTTGCATTTTGGTTTTCAATATAGAGAGCGTTAAGAAAGTGAATATTATAGAATATTTTAAGTTTTTATTTTATTTTTTTGGAAAATCTTCATATAGATATAGTATTGTCATTCAGAATTCTACTTATTTTTATGAATTAATTAATATATGCAAATTTACATGTATTTGTTGAATATAAAGATTATGGTGAAATAATGAAACTATAATAGGTAAGTATAATTGAGATTTAAGATTGCTCTTAAAAGAGAATAATGTAAGTAAGAACAAAATTATTTTCGAATTAAATAAAAGCGAATGAATTGAGAATTATTCCAATATAATTCGGAGTATATAAATGTGTTTATATTTTTCTATATGGAATAAGAATTTCTCTCGAATAATGCCGCCATATTTATCTTTATAACTGCGTAATTTGAGACTCAAAATCATAATTAATAAAAAGATTATTAAAATTTAAAACAAAAAATGTGAAAGCCGAAATGAAACTTGTGGAAATTTTGTTATAAAGTTGGTAATCAAAGTCAGTTAAGTTTTTTTTTTTTCGATCTGATTAGATTTCGATCTGTCAAAAAATATTTGTATTTCTTTTTATTCTTAGAAGTAGTTCTAAGTGCTAAGTTTTTTATTCTTTTTTTTAACAGAGCGTAATCTGATTTTTAAACTCATAGATTTAAGAGATTCAATCGGCTTTTACTAATTTTTAAATGTGACAGATTATTGTATAATCCATATTTTGTATATGATTGACGTAGGCTTTGACGTTTTTTCTTTGGTTGTTTTTTATCAATTTTCTAATCTCTTTTTAAAATTTGATTTACTCTAATGTCAATCAGATCGCTCCAAATCTAATCTGATCGTGAATCTGTTTCAAAGAAGGAAAATGGCTTTTTTGAATTTTGCTTTAACTGTCATTCAATAAAAAATTATTTTTTTAAAATTAAATAAGTTTGTCTCTTTATTTATGTGCGATTGGGGAAATTTCAACTAATAATTTATAGATTAGGTAACAAGACAGTTTACAAAGACATAAAATATGTAATTCAAGTATTTACTCGAGAGTATTGAAAATTTTCAATTATTCCAATCAATATTTTAAATTTAATATAATTTTAGTACCTCGGTTTTCGAAAAGATGGCAGTATATATGCATGATCATGTCTAAAAGAACATTATGACTATTTATTGCGTATTGAGTTTTTTTTTTGTGTTATTTAAGAAAATTTAATTTTACCCGTTTGTTTCTTTTTTTTTTGTATCTTTGCTTTGAATTATTGTAATTTCAGTTGCTTTGCTTTAATAATATTCATTGCCTATATTAAATATTAAACACTTAATTTATATTTTTTTTTTCTTTGATTGTATTTGAGAATTGAAAGTGGAGAATTTTGAAGAGGACAAGGCAAGAGAAATTGTCTGAAGATAGAAAATTAATTCGAATATAAAATTTGTTTTTCTTTTAGTTTTTGTTGCTCTGCTGCTGTCCGTTTTTATACAATGCATTTTTATATTTTTAAATGCATACGATTTTACTTTTTAGTTTGTAAATTTTTGTATTTGAATTGTTGTTATTGTGTGTTTTTTCTCGCGAATAATTTTAAATATTTTTTATTAATTTTTTATATTAAGAAATTTAAATATATTTTGAATTGAATCAATTCAAATTACATTTTAAAATTAATAGTTTTTTTTTGTTGTGAATTTTCAATTATAATTACAATTAAAATTTGAAAATTTAAGAGAAAATTTTATTTATAAGCTTTTTGTGTGTGTTGTGTGAGTGTATTTAAAAATTTAACGTTCGCTATTTGAGATCTTTTGGAATATGCAATTGCAATATTTTCTTTTTTTTGTTTTGAATCTAAAAATTTACTATGCATGCACGTATTTTAAGAAATTATTTTTTTTATATTTTTGTGAATGTGTTTTTTGTATTTTTTTTTTTATAATTTTAATCATCAAAATATTTTTAAAATTAAATTAAATTTTTCTTTCTTTCTGTATTCGTTCTTTTTCTTCATTCTCTTTTTGATATTTATACTTTAAAGTTATTAGTTTTTGTTTTTAACTTTTTTGTTTTTATGATGTTTTAGTAATAATTTGTTTTATTTGTTTTTTATTTCAATTTTTAAATTATTTAAATTTTAATTTATTTAAAAACTTTCGATATTAATTTAATAATTAACAAATTGATTTTATGATAAAACCAATAACAATAACCTCTCTCATATGGCTACGAGACAATAATATGTGGTGCTGAAAATAGTACAGCTATTGTGGCTAATATTGTGAACATTGTGAATATGATAAGGCACAGTCTGTCAACGACCATAGCTGCAAATTTCCAATCATTGGCTATATCATTATCTTCGTCTTCCTTACGGAGCTGATATTTATATATATTAAATATATAAATATATATATATATAAATGTATTAATTTGTGTATAAAATAAATGTTCGTTTTTGTGTATGTTTAAAGTTGTTTTTAGTTGTATAATAAATATTATTATTCATTGAGTGATTATTTTAATACAAATGAAAAATATAGGGGAAGGTACGATGGGTTAATTAAATTATTATTAATTTAATGATTATTAATTTTAATAGGAAAATAATAAAAGATAATAAAAGAGATAAAAGATAATATAAAATATATTAATAAATTATTTTTTTAATAATAATTATTTTAATTTTAAAAAACTAATACTATGTTATAATTATAAAATCTTAATATAAAATTTTAAAATGATATTTTAAATGTAAAATCTGTAAGCAACATGAATATAATCAAATGAATGTTTAGCAACATTGCTTGTTTACAAATATAAAATAAAATAATTAAATTAAATATAATTTCGTTCTCGAAATAAAAATCAATTCTTCTTAGTTACTTTCGAAATTTTAGAAAGTAATGTTCATTTAAAAATTTATTTTGTAGATAAAAAAATTTGTAGAAATAATTATTTACGGTAAAAATTAAAAAAAAATATTAAAAACCTAAAAAAATTTTAAACTAATTAAAAAATAATTTTTTATAAAAAATAATTCTGAATTTAGACGAATAATTGAAGAAGGAGGAAAACCGCAGTAACAGTGAATTAATAATGTTGGAACGTAGGTTCAATTTCACGGTCTTGGTAAGGAATAATACAGAAAATATTATAGTTAATCAAAAATTCTTTATCGTAATTCCGATTTAGTTACTAAAAACAGAAAGTCAAACTTTTTCTTAGACGAAATTAGTATGTTCCGGGAATGTTGTCCGTAAATCGTAATTCCGTAAATCAAATCTTTTTACTTACATTACATTACAGCCACATAATTTTTTACCTAAACTTATATAGTTACAATATATTTCTTGCTAATTTGCAAAAAAATGTAATAGGATTTTATTATTATTACAACATTAAATAACAAGAATTATTTTTGCATTTTAAAAAATTCCGTAAATTGAATTGTAAGAAAATAATAACCAGCCGAAAATAATAACGTTGGAATAATCATTGAAATAAGAAAGTTACGACTTCAATCTTTAGACCTAGTGTAAACAGGATAAAGTGAGTGAATTTTGGGTCATGGACGCAAGACGGTGTAATGAAACAACGAACGCTTTTTCGATTTTTGATGTACAGGAGAGACAGAACGAAGCGATTTGCAGACAATAGTACGAATTATAACATTAGAGAACATTGTTTTATTAGTGCTTTATTTGAAAATATGTTTTTTAAATAAAAATTAAATTCGCTTTTGATTAATCATAAAAAATAATAATAAAAGACTTATTTATAATACAAACCAAAACACTGTTCTTTAGGGATAATTAAAGAAAAGAATATTCAAATATTTTTAGAAGCAAACAAAATAACAATCAAGCAAGCATAAAATAATTTAAATACCAAACTTACCTGATCGGTTATAAATCGAATTTCTTTTAAAATTAATCCTAATTCGTAGTCTGTTGATGATTTTATACAAGTGTGTTGAGTAACTGCGTCTGGCATACGAGTGCTACCTATAGGTCCAATACTACCGTCATCACCTTGACTATATTATATTAAATATTTTCCACATGAAATAAAAATTTAGTAGTAAATAAAAAAAAATTTTAAAATAAATTTATGAGAACATTTTATATTAATCAATACTGAATAGGCTAAATCGTAGAGCAAACACCTTTTGACACAACAAAAAACAAAAATGAATATGAAGGTTCTCTTTTTTCTTATTGTTTGAGTTTGATAAAAAATGAAACTTTCTACATACATAAAATATGACTGTGTTACATTATTGTATTGTATTTTAATTGTATGTTTTGAGTTTTTGAGTTTGATGAAGTCGAATAATCAGATTGGCAGTTTTAAGTTGACTAATTATCTCAAGTTAGCTTTTAATTAGGTATATTTGAAATTTCAGATACCAGCAACGAAGAACTCGTTTTCAAAAGCTTAAAATTTGAAATATCATTTTTGATTTTCAAAATTCGTGAAATTTGATCCAACATTAATGAAATTTGGTTTTTTTTTAATATTAATATAATAACATTCCGCAAATTTGGTCATTTAATAAATGGGAATGGTTTATTAATAAGAAATCTTAAGTCTGTATAAGACAAATTCTGATTTTCTGTGATCATCTGCTTTTCAAATTATGAAAGCATGTATAAAAATTTGAAGAAAGTAATAGAAGTTTAAACTGAATGAAATTACTAGTTTTAAAATATTTTCCTATTTTAAAGCTTTCGCAAAATTTGTTAATAAATTTGTTTTCTAAGTTTTCTAAAAAAAATTTGATTTGGTATCTGATAAAAAATTAAAAAATATACACACAAAAAAGCTCTAGTGGACACAACAACATAAATGTTACCCGTACACAGTCCTATAAAAAGCTGGATTATGTGGCAGTGTTCCTCCTGGGGTTAATGGTCTACAATTATGTCGAAAATCATCGTCTATATCGAGTACGTTCGCTAATAATGACTTTGATGACCTGTATATGAATATATATAATTTATAATATTGTTATGTTTGTACATACACATATATTAAGATGTATATATATATATATAATATGATAAATTAACAATGTTAATGAATTTTTCCGCGAAGAAAAAAACACATAATAATGGAAAATAACATTAATTTTTTTCTCTGTATTATATTTTTCTTGTTTAATATACCTCTCTTTAAGTTCAACATCAGAAAGTATTTGTTGTTTTCTTTCGGATGATGTATCTGAACATGGAGTTGGAGGAAAATCACTAATTGATATATGTCTACCCGGCCGATTCATTCGTAGTAACCATGGTAGCCAGCATAAAAAAACGACACGAATCTTAAAAGAAAAGAAAAAAAAAAAACAAATTATTACTCGTAAATATTTGGATTTTTTTTTAAATATTTCAAAATTTTAAAATCTAAGACTAAAATTTTTAGAATTTTCGGCTATTTTGGTACCAAATTCCTCCGTGCAAGAGTTTGGAGAGAGGATATGGTACCGAAATCATTCAGGTTCATTAGTTTCATATTCTTCTTATTGACGACAATGGAAAATTATAATCGATAAGTGACAAGTGATTGATAAACTATTGCGGCAGTTGTTCAGGTATACGGTGATTATAACAGCTCGTGTTAGCCCAGTAATAATAGTAAGCAAAACCGTAATAAAATATCTTGTGATAGCAAGTTTTTTTTAGAGGAAGCACTAAATTTTGTAAATATAACTAGAGGACGCTTTGTTGAGCACCAGGGCATGTAGGTTGCTAGTTCATCCTTTATCAGGCAAAATTCTTTCTGCAGAAGTGGACCCTCATACTGGACGGGTTAAGTGATGAGAGGAGTGGGAGAGAGCAATCTAAGAGATATATGGAGTCTTCTGGGCTTCTTAATGTTAAATAACTTTCGGAAAATTATAACCAGAAGCGTTTTAAGAAGATTATTGGAATTGGTATGAACCGGGTAGGAATACTCATATTCATGTAAGATTTATCTAAGTAGTCTGAATTAGAGTAATGAAATATATGTATTGCCCTTACTTTTTTTTTTATTCATTTAAATTGTTCAATTAGCAATTTATTTTTTTTTTTATTAAATTTGAGAGAGAAGTTTTTTGTTTCATTTATTTAAAAAAAAAAAAAATCAAAAATTGAATTAAATTTGATTATTTTCCAAAAAATTTTTTAAATTTGAGATGAAAATGTCGTTTACATATTAAATTAAAATCTCTTCGTCCTTTTTTACTTTTCTTAAATTTCAAGTAAACCTTTTTGTTTTTTTTTCCCTTTTTTTTTAGTTGATTGTTTTATTTTATAAATTTGATACAGGCTACTAAAGGATTTATAAAAAAAAGAGATTAATGACTTTTATTTTCCTTTCCTTTTACTGTAAAAATTCTCCTTGATTTACCATCCTTTTTATCTCATTTTTGTTTGTTCCCTATTTTTGCCCCTCGATACCTCCCTTTTACGTTCTCACTCTCTTTCTTTAATACTTTGTTTAACTTTAAATACCTTTCTCATATATTTGCTCTTTCATGAGTTTTTCTTTTTTTTTATACTCTAAAATTTTCTAATGTTTTTGTTTCTTTTTATTTTTGTTATTTTTTCTTTCTTGATGGGTTTTGTATGTCTATCAGTAATTGTGGTTGTTGTTATTGTGTTTTTCAACCTTTAAAGATGATAAGCGTTTGAAAAATGACGAACAAAAATTTACAAAACAACAATGAAGGAAAAAAGAAAAAATTAACGAAAACAGGTAAAAATTTTAAAGTTTTTCTACTTTTACATACAAAAATTTTCTTTTTTTTTGTAATTTTGGGTACACTTTGGGTAGAAGTATAAAAAGTAGGCACTTATGTTAATTTTTTATTTTTTAAGACTAAAGAGAGAAAATATGTTCTCCTGTTATTTTTTTCTTGTTTTTGCTTTCCATTTTTTTAATTTCTTTCTTTTTGTTCTCTGTTCAACTTGAAGTTTTTGGTTTCGTCGAGGTTAAAAGTGAAATGAGGTGGTGAGGTGAATTGGGTTTTCTTTATTATTATTGTTATAGTGTAGTTGTCGTTTGTTTGATTTTTATTTACGTTATACATTTTTGTTTTTTAAATGTTTTCATTATTTTATGCTGTTAGGTATAAATAAGAAAGAAAATCAAAAGGAAGGAGAAGATAAATTTTATAGATGGTTTTGATTTTACCCAAAAAGTTATTGCTATTCGGAAATGGTATGGTAAATTTAAAACTAGATAACGGAGGGAGAGAGAGAGGGAGAGAGAGAGAGTGAACAGCATATATTTTTCTATTTTTCATTTATTTTCTTTATTTATTTCTCGGTCTGATAGTTGTGTGTTTTATAGGAATAATTTCAGAAAATAAAATTAATAGGTTGTTGTAATACGAGTAGTAAGTAGTAGGAGAAATACTGTAATATTTTGTTAGTACTTAGTAGGATATGGTATGTAAGAAAAATGTATAGGTAAATGAGATATTAAGGTGGAAAATAAGGCAGTGAGCAGGAAAGATTTTTTTTTGTTTCAATATAAGGGGTGAACATGACGAATAAGAGGTGAACATGAAGAAGATGCAAAATAATTTTTATTCAAGATGAATTTAAGTTTTCTCGGTGATTTTTCTTGTTCTATTTTGTTATTTTAATTTTTTTTTGTAAATTGTTTAGCTAAATGTTCCGTTAACATTTTAGGGTTTTTTCATGCGGTTTCTTATATTTTCGTTTTATATGTTGTTCTCTATTTTGTTGTTGTTGTTGTGTTTGCTTGCGTAGCGCTTAACTTAATGTTATTCTTTCTATTTTTTGTATTCATTTATGTGGATGTATTCCATATATACTTTTATTTATATTCATATATTGTATTTAACTTTAGTAGAAAATTATGTCTTGATAAATCAGATATTAAATTAATGTGATGTAAATGTATGCCGGTATGTGCGTGTATAAAGTGTGCTCCATTTTTTTTATATAAGTATTTAATTTATGAATGCAAATAAAGTGTAATGTGAAATATGTATATATGTATATTATTTATTGTATATTTAAGTTATTTTGGATAACGAAATATGGAAAGAATTTTTGTTTAGGAGCAAAAACGCAGGAGGTTGACTAGGTGTAGAGTAGAAAGTTTAAAAAAATTTTAACTTTAATTTTTAGTTTTGAAAATAATTTAGGTTTGAAAGGCTTATAAACTATTTTTTTTATAGTTTGGTAGAAATAAATGTAAAATTTATTTAAGTATAACTTGAAAAATTTTCCTTGTTTTTTTGGTATGATGTTGAAATTGATGCCGTTTATGCAAATTGGATGCAATATAATTTGTTAAAGTTTAGAACTTTAAGCATCAAGCGGCTTTGTCCGGAAATATTTGGTAGAAATACTGTGAAAACTGATCCACGCCTAATTGATTTACGGCTTTTTCGTTGAATAATCAATATTTTTCGATTGGTTAATTGATTTCCTTTGATTGACTTTCTGACCCGCACTTAATTCCATCAAATCTAGTCGATTGCTCATTAATTTTTTCAAAAAACTGTTTTTCTTTCAAAGTTTTTAAACTATTGATGTATAGCTATTAATATAGTAGACAAATTTTATATTGCTTTAAAAATGAAGCAATAAAAATTTAATATTGCATTTTTCTAGGCAACCGTAGAAAAGCTAATTAATTTTTCATTAATTTTTTGGAGGTTTTTAACAATCTAAGGCAGCCGTCGACAAGCTTTTATTGATTATAGGGAAATATGTACTATGTGAGTATGGGTCACTTGAATTTCTTACATTACCTACTTACAAGAAAAATGACATTTTTAATTGGCTTATTTGATTGTTTTGTTTTGACAAATAATGAATTTGTATGGAATTTTATGTTCCTAGATCTATTTTCTATAATGGAAATGTCAAATTTTTTTGAAAAATTTTAATAATCGCAATCGAATATATTTTTCTCCCCCAAGCAGTATGATTTTGAAGTTGAGATGGATGCTGCAAATGAGCCGGCATCACATTCAACTTCATAACATGAGGATAACTAAGGAATAATTGAATGAACTACAAGGAAAGTAAAAATACCGTTTGAAAAAAAGCTTTTGAAATGAATTGAAAATATAAAATTTCATTTTTTAATACATTCCGTTGGTTTTTTTATAAACCCATTTGTTTATGCGGTCAATGTTCATCTTTTTAAATTTGTTTTTTTCTTTGCAGGTATTAAGTTAATATTTATGTTTACATGTGTTATATTATGTAAAATTTAAATCAAACATAAATATAAAATTCAAAGTGATGTTATACATATATGATCCAGACTTTTATAGCTCTCAAAAAAAAAAAAACTCTATAAGACCTTATTAATTTTGCAGTACTTTCATCATTTTCCAATTTATTTATTATGTACAGTATATGTACATATATGCTTTAGTATATTATTATAATACTAATATGTATAATAATATAATACTACATGTATAGGTAAAATTGTTTATAATGTCAGAATATAAAGAGTTGCCAAAAGTAAGAGTTATATGTTAATATAAAAGTTCTTTTAATTTAACTAGTTTTTGGCACTTTTCAAAAAAAATTTTGAAGAAAAAGGTTCTTATTAGTTTCACTCCTCTCTCTGTCCATCCGTCCGTCTGTCTGTGTGTCTGTTTACAAAACTTCAACACCCTTGAAGATAGAGGGCTGAAATTTTATGCACACATAGATCTTTACTAGAAACTTATTTCCGTACAACAAATTTTTTACCTATCTCCCTCCCTCTAAAAGTTATACTCCCCCAAAACCCTAAAAATACAATTTTTTAACTATTTATTGCAGTGAAACCATAAGCATTTTTTAAATTTTGCAAACGCAGATTGTAGATTTAAATTTTTTTTTTACTTTATTTCAAAGACTGCATAAAATGTTCAACCTAAATGTATGCAATCTTTGAAATAGTTTCCTATAGTAATTTTAATTATACAAAGATTGTTTTTAAAAGCAGTATTTTCAATTGTTGCAGTGAAAAGTGGTATAATACAAACCATTGGTTTGACCCAAATTTATTTAAAGTTATTTCTCTTTTTATTAGCGAAATCTGTCTTCCAGTCCAGTTGAATTAAAATCCTGAATTTTAGTCAAATAACTTCTCATCGAAATTGAGTCTTTCATGTGCTATATGATACTCGTTTATATTGAATTTAATCTCATTTGTTGAAAGGGACAATATCGTAACAATATAGAAAACTTAAGGCTGTAAGGGAATTTACAAAATTTTTTGCATGATTTATATTGAACTTTTAATTAATTAAAAGTTATAATAAAATTAATTAAAAATTAATTTTTATTTATT